CCCTTGAGCTGAGTCCTTGCGGAGACAGATTCCCCCCTTGCAGCTCTCCAAACCACCCATTTGCAATAACAGGGGATTTTTTTTTCTCCCCTTTCCTATCCCTGTGACCCCCTTTCCCACCCTTGCAAGCACCCCATCACTGGCAACCACATAAAATCCCTGGCAAAGCTTTGAGTTTTGCAGGGAGCCTGGCTGGGAGGGTGGGTTGGCTGCCTGGGGGTGGCTCTGCTGCCTTTGAGGCTTCCCCTGCCTCTACCAGCCCGGGGGTGTGGGGATGCCAGAGTCCCTTGTCCTCTCCCCAGGGTGCTGGCAGAGGTGGCCCTGCAGGACAGCACCCTGGGGTCCCTGCTGACCTGCTGAGAACTGTTAGAGTTAACACTGTGGTCGGATTTAGCACTTTCTTCGTTACCTCACACTTCATAAATAAATAAGTTTGCAACAGCCTGGGTTGGCTTTTTCCATGCAGGTGGCTGTGGGTGTCTGTGCATCACACCACGATGCTCCCTGGGAGGGGGGCTGGCCTGGCTGCTGTGTTTTGGGGTGTCCTGAACAGAAATGAATATATTTTGCACCAGGGCTTGGCTGCCTCGCTGCCAGCGAGACTGAGCTCTTTGTCTCAGCTTTCTCCCAGCGATCGAAACAGAAGTGGTCACAGCGGTAGAGCCAGGAAAACGAAGCACCTGGATTATTTTTCCTCCTTTTAAGTGTCTTTATTGGCCAGGAGGGGCGGAGAGCCCAGGGTGAGCTTGGAGAAGGCTTTAGTGTAACGGTAAACCCCCCTAATGGGGCTTGGGGCCGCCTGTGTGGGGCGATCGCTGCCCCACGGGTCAGGGGATGGGGCTGTGGTTGGCAGTAACCCTATAGGTTGGGGGGAATGCAATCTGCTTGCTTCAGGGGGCATCGGAGACCTTCACATACCCAGATCTGCCGAGTGGATGAAATTATATATACGTGTGTTCTCCTTGCCGCCCCTGAACTTGATGCTTTTGGGTTTCCTTTGTACTGGCGGCAAAAGTCTTTAAATGCGGGAGGGACACGGGATCCCGTTACTGCTGAGAAGTCAGAAGAGAGCTGCTGCTGCTGCAGGAGACTCGAATCACGCGAGGGAAGCCAACCTCAGAAAACAACGATTCTGCACAGAAGCTCTGAGATACCCGTCCCCTTTGGTTCTGGCAACGTTTCACGCTTTCTGCGTGTTGCATCATGCCGTGTCAAAGCGTTTCAGAGCTGCATTGAAAGGTGCTCAGAGGAACCACAGCTCCAACGTGGAGCTGGGTGACCTAAATCTGACACCTCACCCATGCACAGGAAACAAAGCCCACATGTACCGGCCCCTCAAACGTTTATTTTTGTTGTGTGTACACCAACGCTTGCAGACTGGTGTCTTTTTTCAGCTCAAGGTGACCCTCCCGATAAGGTTTTTAGTAAGGTGTGCTTTTTCTTTTCACACTGAAGGCACGTAGGATGGTTAAAACCTTTTTCTGTCTTGGAAATGATGTGTGCATCCCATGGGCTGAGACCATCACCAGTGGAAAATGTGATTGGCTTCAAATCAACCTGAGGAAGAGCTGCAGTTTTTGAGTTCCCCTGCTTAAGACCCTCATACATAAATATATATCTACCTGAAACTTCCCTGGTTACTAAAGGAGATGTCTGCTCTCGCATTGCCGCAATAAGGACCAGGAATGGGGCCTGACAGTGCTACGAAGTGAACAAAATAAACACACGGGGCTTTTCCTCCTCGCTTGCTCAGCGTCCAGCATTTCCAGGCCTGACAGTTTGTTGTTTTTTCTTTAAAGCCCATCGCCCTGCCCACGCCCTGTTCTTTGCCCCCCCCTGCCTCTGCTGCCATACACCCCCCCAAAGAAAACATTCTTTCCCGGTTTCGCACCGGGCATCCCGGGGACGCTGCGGGCTCGGCGCTGCCTTCACGCCTGGGCTGGCAAATTTTTAGGACAGTTTCCCGAGGCGGCGATAATCCTTTCCC